GAAAGAGAGAGAGAGAGAGAGAGAGAGAGAGAGAGAGAGAGAGAGAAAGAGAGGGAGAGGGAGAGAGAAAGAGAGGGAGAGGGAGAGAGAAAGAGAGAGAGGGAGAGGGAGAAAGAAAGAGAGAGCGAGAGAAACAAATTCAAAGCAAGCAAGCTAAAGCAACGTCAGTTCAGCCCCGTATGGTAACATTGTGTTTGTGTCTGTTAACAGCGGGCAACAACTGCCTGGTTGGAAACTACGCGAACAATCATCAGGGCGGCAGTCATTCACCGCGACTTCAAGAATCATCCATCGCGGATAACCATCAGGCGGCGCATCAGGATCACATCACGGATGGCGAGTCGCATCTGCAGCCATTGATGCCGATGCAATTCTCACCGCTGCACATACCACAGTTTCACAGCTCTCTGGGTTTTCCATCCGCTTTGTCGTTGTCCAGTTTAGCGGCCACTCAGACAGGAAGCGTAAATCAGTCGAAAGCGCGCGGCGCTTCCGATTGTCCAGGTGTCTGTCCGCTTTGCGGTGCGACGCTGCGCCAGGCGAGAAATTTGCGCAGACACCTGTTGTCCTCGTGCAAGTACCGGTTCAGTAACAACTCGACGACGACGAATACGACGACGCAGAATTCCGATACAACGATGGAGATGGTGGAGATCAAGTCTGAAGTTGAATTGCCCGGTTATAACGATCAGTCGTCTGTAACTTACGGGACCGACAGCGGCAGTAACAGTTGCGAGCAGATAGTTTGTAAGCCCAGCCTACCCTCGCCGACGTTGCATGGGCCTGAGAGCGCGGTTTCGCCACCGAGTAGCATCCCGTCGCCGACGACCGCCAGATAAACGTACAGGGAGAAGACTCGTCGAAACAAACACGAGCGTCGTTATTGATTATGCGTTTCGTAGTCTTGCGGATTTTGTTCGATTGTGTTACGGTGATTGAATTCGAGAGTGCTATGACAATGTTACGTGAGGATGAAAAAAATGAAAGACGCGTTATTTGTATAGTTTGGTTATCCATTTTATGCGAACGGTTATTTGTAATTACTCGCATTATTACGCGCGTTATTTAACTAGATCAATTCGGAATGTATTTATGCGATTAAGTTTATACATGAATCTTCCACTCCTTAGTGTATAAGGATATCGTAGAATTAATCGATGCAGTTTCAAGTATAGCGGAAAAAGTTATATCGTGAGATAAAAGATTCTTATTCTTTTACTATATGACTTATACGATAATCGGGATTTCCTATAATCGCGTGCAATTCGAGTTCGTCCACAATTCATTTTACTGCCTCTAATTCCCTCGTCATGGAATGGTCTAATAGCAATATACATGAATATATTAGCTAATTGTATTTACGAGTATCATTTTTTTTTAATGAAACCGAGGATCTTTCATAACAGCCACAAGATGAAATCGGTGCACATTCCTATTTTATAATGACGGACTTTGCTGTGTACGCGTGGACCGTTGACAATAGTATGTGCATATACGAAATAATTAGCATTTCGATTGAAAAGGAGAAATATAAGATAACGGGTATAATAATGTATTATCCAGTTTCTTTTCTTTTGCAAATAAAGTATGTGATACCGTACGTTGCGTTATTTTTCACGAAAACACAACTTTGGCGTGAGCTACACATGCATTGCTATCTCATCTATTTTACCATACCAGAGACACGATGTCTGAGTCGAGGTGAGATGCTCACAATGTTTCGTGTTGAAGTCTATCTAGCTTTGACGAGGAATTTGACGTTTCAGGAGACGGATTGTCGAAGGCGCGCAGTCTGTCCGATCAGCCGGCGTCGTGTCCGTTATGCGGCGCGATTCTACGCCAATCGAGAAATCTCAGAAGACACTTGGAGCTTTTGCACTTTGGTCTGGGTAATAGCGGCAAGTCCAGCTTACACGCGAGGCATCGGCGATCGGCGACGGACAGGGCCAATGATTTCGGTCTGTCATCGTTGGCATGCGTTCGTCCCACCGCCAGGATAGACTCGCACCTCGCCGCGAGGTCCTCCGAGGCCTCGGACTTTTCCATGATGACGCCTTTATCGATTGCCTCGTCCGTCAGTTCCGCGTCGAGCGTCAGTCTTTCAGGTGAATCGCATTTCAAATCACTTAAGATATGGAAAAGAATTATACAGAGTGGGGCATTTATATTGAGACACCTAAATATCTAAAAAATAAAGCAAGATAGAAAGAAATGTTTCAGACAAAAGTTGTTCGGTTCTAAGGGGGACACATGATGAAAATATGGACTTGGCCTTGAAAAGGTCATTCAAGGTCAAGTTTCATTCTTTCTATCTTGCTTTATTTTTTAGATATTTAGGTGTCTCAATATAAATGCCCCACCCTGTATACAGGAAAAATATTTTTTTTTTTAAGAAAAGATGGATGTTATATATGAAATATACAGGGTGTCCCCAATTTAAATGTCAAAACTTTAGGAGCGTGTAGGGGACCGATAAACTAAGACAAAAAGACAAAAATTATTAGATTTATCAAAAAGTATTATAAAATAAAAATTGTAGAACATGGAATTAAGAAAAGAGAGTGAGTTAAAATCCTCCTGAGGTAAAATTAGATTAGACACAAAATTTCGCGTTGTCGCGTATTTATCTACAATCCTCTAATTTTACCTCAGGAAAATTTTAACTCACTCTCTTTTCTTAATTCCATGTTCTACAATTTTTATTTTATAATACTTTTTGATAAATCTAATAATTTTAGTGTTGTTTTAAGTTTTTTGGTGAAAATTATTTGTTTCATTTTTTGCGATTTTCTTCAAAACGAAGCAAAAACGAGCAAATCTCTAAAGTATTTTTTGTCTTAGTTTATCGGTCCCCTACACACTCCTAAAGTTTTGACATTTAAATTGGGGACACCTTGTAGAATAAAAGAGATTTATTCATTATATATGTAACGTTGAGAAAATAATTATCGCTAATGAACTTGTTATAAATCATTGATTCGACAGAGAAATATTACACATGAGGGACATTAAAATTTTACTGTCATGCTTTATACGCATTATACGATGCACGCGGTATTGTCGAAGGATTAGTGGATGCGTTATCGTTTTTGTTAAAGCGATTACACGCGAATATTCACGTGAATTTACAAATCTCGTCTTTACATATAAACTTTGCATTCATACGATTACAAACATTGATAATTTTCAGTGTTTTGAGAGAACGCGATTGGAATCGAAATATATTCGCTTGGGATTTTGTAATTTATTATATTATTATATTATCACGGATTAAATCCTTGCCATATTAAGTCTCATGTTTGTTTAAAAACAAATTGCGAACTATCTATTCTATGATCTTGTCTGCGCTTATTTTCATGAAACGTCATCCCGATGTAATTGTATTATTTTTTTATTCTAAAATACTACGAATAGTAATGCATATTTAATTACTAACATTATTATGATAATGTTAATAAATATTTTTTAAATTATAAAATATC